CTGTGCAATCCGGTGCCGCGTGAAAGATGCAAAGAATTGCACGGAGTTAGATTGGAAAATATAGTTTATTTAGAAAATAAATTAGAGAGAGAGAAGAGAGAGGAGAGAGATTCACCTCCCCAAGGTAGGGGAGGGGCCAAAGCTTAGGAAAACATGGCTGAGGCCATGGCTCAAAGAGCACACAGCAACACAACACTAGAGTTTAGTAAAGCAATGGTGACTGGGTGCTCCTGGATGAATCCTTTTAATCCTTTCCTTTGATGAGGGAAGGTCGTTAAGATGATTGGGTGGTTGTCAGCTCCATGTCATCATAAAGGGGCAAGTAAGCACTGGCTCCAAAGTCAAGTGATGGATAGCAGGCAGGTGGGTGGGTTAGTCACATGATTGCTGCCATGGTGGTGGGGTCTGTCTGGGTCAGGAAGGGCTGATTAGGTTAACTTGGGTCTTATGGGTGGTGGAAAATACTTGAAATAGGAAAGCTAATTAGTACCAAAACAAGCTGGAGAGGAGAGGTCATAAAACAATTGGAGAGGTCATAAAACAATTATCAGTAGCTACCTCTGAGAAACTAGTTCTGTCCTTGGCTAGTTATTAGACGGTTAAGTGAACTGCTAGAAAAACATGAGGTTTAGGCAATGTTAAAATGGCTACTCACTGGGTATATTATATCCATGTTATGTCCTTTCACAAGAGAAAATAAATTGAATCAGCAGCAGGCTTAGGCAATTTGAAGGATGTGGATAATAGATTGAATAGGTTGAGCTTTTCAAAAATATTTTAATTCATGGCTTAATAGCCTTGTTTAAGTAATGATTTATCCTTCTTCAGCACTAACCAATAGAAGGCAGACAGAAGAATAATTTCTGTATTAAGGGGGCTTATAGGCAGCTATCTGGTTGAAGAGTAGGTTATTAGGGAATTAATCTAGTAGCTGCATTGGCAAAACACTTTAAGATTAAAGAACATAAACTGCATGATAAGAACGATGAATACTAGGGGATAATCTCTACTCCCATAAGCCACCCTATGGAGTAGAACCCATATCATCTTTATTTGGTTAGTTTATATTTAATGTTCTAGGATTTCATCATATACTACATATTAAAATTAATGTTATTATTACACACATATTCAGTTCTCCAAAATGGAATTTAAGTCTTACATATTTTATTTTTAAATTTTCCATTCAATACAAAATTAGAATATTGCAAAAAATTGACACAAAAAAGTTATCCCAGAATAATGCGGAGTTCCAAAGTCAAAACAAGTGTTCAAACTTCAAATCTCAACTTCATTAAGCCTTGTTCTTCTTCCATAAAGTTGAGATAATAATTTGGTATTGAAGAATGAGCTAATACAAGTGAAATTATCCATCAAAATATTTGACACAATTGACGTTCAGCACATTTCTTCTGGGTGAATTACACATGTAAATCATATTTTTTGGTGTGATTTTTATAAGGGTCTTGGGAACACTAATATCATTTAACTTAGAATTTCTCCTTATGGTGAAAGTGGTGGTACACCTGTAATCCTAGCTACTCCAGCAGCTGAGGTGGGAGGATTGCTTGAGCCCAGAAATTTGAGGCGACAGGACAACATAGTGAGACTACCATCTCACAAATAAAATTAATAAAGTATATTAATGCTTCCAACTCACAAATATTTCAAGATCCTTGACATGTTTAACGACTTAATTTAGGGGAAGAGGGGATTAAATAGGACTAAGTTTTCTTCCTATTGGATTTTCTTTTGAATAACTAATTATAAGAAGTATTTAAGAAATTATTGTTTTTTAAAAACTTTCCAGGAGGTTTTACTATCAGTGAGTGAGGGGAACTGTTAACTAGTATTTAGTCAAGTTAACATCTTTGCACTTAGTAAAGCTACTAGAAAACCAACCAGTAGAAAATGCACTGTCCCAAAGTCTGGAACACACCGTAGTTACCTTAACCCCTTAAATCTCATTTTCTTCTACAAAGTGAAAAGGTTGGTCTTCTCATTAATTCCTACACCACTTGCACAGCAGAAATCATCAGGGCTACTTTTTACAGAGGATCTTCTATACCATTTCACACTTAATCAGTCAGAATTTGAGGGATGGTTTCCAGAAATCTATATTTTTAATTCAGATAAATTATTAGAGACTCTAATAATCACCCAGGTTTGGGACCTACCAGCCTAGTCAATTACTAGGCTTTGTTTCTCAACTTCTTTTTCTTCTGTAATATGGATTGGCATTTGGAAGTACAGTCATCCATAATTTAATGACATACTTTGAGAAATATGTCACTAGGTGATTTCACTGCTGTGCAAATATCAGAGTGTATTTATACAAACCTAGATGGTACAGACCTAGGCTACATGATATAGTCTATTGTGCCTAGGCTAAAATCTGGGCAGCATGTTATTATGCTGATTAATGCAGGCAACTGTAATACAATATTAAGTATTTTTGATATAAACATACAAAAGGTACAGTAAAAATATAATATGATAGTATTATGGGATCACTATCATATTTGCAGGCACTGTTGTCTGAAACATTGTTACACTCATTTCCGTGACTCATGGACATTATTCATCTTTGCTCTTTTTTATTCCTTACTACATTTTTATGTTCTGGTTTAACAGGTGTGCTGAGGAAGGCATTCCAATAATAAAATAAGAGTAGCTAATACTGTTTATAGTATAATAAAATGTATTTTCATAAGATATTAATCATGGGCCAAAAATGCATTTAAAAAAATACCATATTTCAAATCATTCTGCACAAAGAAATTACAGACCACATTTAATAACAAACTGTTTAGCTATTTAATAAAATGTTGTTAGGAACTTACTACAATTTTCAAAACCAAAGGACAAAAATATTAAATAAATCATTTCATGGCATAGGACACAATAGACTGACTTATGCAACAAAAGCAGGCAGGCAGATTTTTAGCTAAAAACAGAATAGAGGAAATCTAACTTAAACAAAAATTCAGGGAACGGGTTTTAATAAATTTCTGGTTAAGTGAAGCTTAACTATGTCAGGAACAAGAGACTTTGCATATCATATTTTGTTTATAAAAGTAAAAAACTTTCTCAGACATCAGCAATATAGTTGTTTACCTAAGCACATTTTTTTTCCTTTGCTAATTCAGAATTCTGATGTTCACCTGTCAAATTTATAAGTTATTTATCTGGTAATTTCTTAAGCAACTACTGATGGCATCCTTAGATGCTAATTATGTTAAATTTTCCTCTAATTTTTTTCCCCCAATGACCATGGGTCTTATGATACGGACAATACTGAAACATGTCAAGACAAAAACTGATCTTAAAGAGACTTTATTCATGAATAATTCAGCAATTATTCATTGAAACCCACTACATTTCCAGTTCTAGAAAGAACTAGACAGACACAATCCCTGCCTCTGGAGAGCGCACCATTTAGAACACCGCAGGTCAAGCACTGATTCTGAATCAATAACAGTCTTCATTTCACTGTTCAAGACTTGCATAGATATGGATTTCTTCTAGAAGAGCAGACAAAAATCTTTCCTTATGCATGTCATTCTTTGGATTCTCATAAGGAATATTTTGAAATCTGTATGCTGACAAGGCCGATACTTTGCTTTCTCTAATTGCCTTCTGCTACTTATTGAAAGGACAGTCCGAGAGCCAAAAGCCATTTTCTAATCTTGTTCTTAAATCTTAATACAATGATGAAAAAGTAGAAGCTATGCTTTTCGAGAAATGCACACTTTAGGTAAAATTAACTTTGCCGACTTCGTCTTTTCAGAAACAGACTTCCTGTGACAGGTATCAGAGGTATCTCATAGTGGCAATCAAGCTTGCCTAGAGCAAAGGGAATTTAAAAGGCCTAAGACATCATGCATTGGGCAAGGATTGTAAAAGTCATGAAACTTATAATTACAAAAGTTATGGTCGCTCAGAGGGGGAGCAGGTGGGGATTCAATCTTCCAGTAAATTGGGACAGGGAAGCCAAGGATCCCCCGAAGCTACCCACTGGGAATGCATAGGAGATAAGGTGAAATACACCCTCCATTAGCTCTAAGGAATGTCGTTCAGGAAGGTGCAGGAACATTAGAATCCTTGTCACGCCTTTCTCTAGGGGCTATGATAATATGGACAGACATTAATGGGTCTCTGTGTCACAAGTTCTCCATGACATCCACAGGTGGTCAATAAGGAAGTCACAGAAGTCACGTCTACCTGACTGCAACATCTCCAAGGAAAAGGATTTAAGCCAGGGCTTTGGGGGGCTACGGGTCACACTCACCTAGAGTGTAGCCCTGCTCCCTGTCTGTAGGGGCAAACAATTCTTAAATAAATCTTATCTTCTCTCACCTCTGTGTATTGCAATTCTTTGCAATTACTCGGATCTCTGGATTGCCAGTGCGGCTCCGGCATCGCTGCACCTCCCTGTGCCTCTCCCTCTCCATCCATCCACCCTCACCCTATCTGTGCCCTAATACTTATGACTATGTCAAGTATTTTGTTTCCCTTTCAGTTCTCCCCAACATACTCTTGGTTGTTCTAGCTTTTCAGTTGTTTTTTTCTGTGACACTTTGTTTCAGGATTCTGTCCCTCTCTCCTGCTATCCTTTGTTGTTTTCCTCCTTATGAGAAGCCTGGTCATCTGGGTTCCCCATCTTCCCTTTCTGGCTTCATACTAACTCGAGTGAGAAATCTTAGCACTTTCTTAAAAGTTCAGTCTTCAATAAGTATAACTCATCAGCATTTCCAATCAACATTTCCTTGTTTTGTAATGATTTTCAAATCTTGCTTGCAACAACTCTCTTCCTGAATGCTACTTAAAAATATTACTCCCCCCCAAAACAATGTTTTCTTAAAGATTCTCATTTAAAAGTCTGCAATAAGAGATTGAAAAAGGAATGCATAACTCAGCAAAGGATGCTTCCACAGTATTGGATTCTGCAAGATCACTGTTAAAATATGGTATGGAACATCAATTTATATACATAAGCATTAGATTTAAAAGTTCATGTTTAATTTTGTGATATGAAACTGAATTTTATGACACGAGATTTAAAATTTCAAAAAACCTAAATGATGAAAATTTAAGATAGTTAACTATTCATTGATTGGTCTATCGCTTTAACATAAACTATGTAATTAAGAATCGAATTATCAAGCAATCAGCCATTCACGATCCAAAATCTTTTTACATGTTTAACTCAGACAAATATGTAAGATTCAGTACATTTTAATTTTCCAAATGTTCTCAGAAAGAATTATCAGAAGCATCCTCCAGTTATAAAACACAGTTGGATAATCCATTTACCCCAAATGAACTACCGGTTTGTGTTGTGAGGTAGTAATCAAAGACTACATGATCTTCTGTGGTGGTAATACACTCAATTCATAAGCATTTCCTCTTCACATAAAGAGTACAAACAATAAAAAGGGACGAAAAGTCACCTTTCATTATTTCATTGATCCTTGGTGTACTCATAGTATGGTAAATGCCTGATTTCAATTTTACAACAACAAAAAAATACCAATATTTATTTTGAAATGTAATCTTATGTTCCAAGTAGCAGACATTAAAAACTTCCAACACGATCTCTAGGAATAATTCGCAGTTCTGAACCGTGTTTTAGAAAAACGTTTCCTATACAAATAAACAAAACATAAAGTTAGGTATTCGAAAATCAAGATATCTTAATATTCCAACAATTATTAAACACAATAAACAATGTAGTAAAAGGTAAACTAGGTACAAAAGCTCAAGCAGCAGAACCCAATTCCATGCTTTTGAAGTCTTGTTCCTATTCTTATATCTTCACAATCCAACAATGTTTACAAATTTTAAATAGGAACACCAGCCATGAAGTGACTAATGAATACATTCAACAAGTAACAAATTGAACTAATTTAATCATGAATACTTGCTTTAATACACAATAAAATAACTAAGGACAGAAAAAAAATAACATATCTAAATCACTTCAAGTAACCAAAATTCAGGTATCTTGACTTGTTTGGGATCAACTGCCTACCAAGAGACTATCTTCATATTCAATTATATGTACATTCAATGTTTAAAGGTAACGTGACAAGCAATATGTTAAAGTAAGAAGTAATTCAAAGTAACGTAAATGGAAACTTATAGAATAAGAAAAAAACAAAACCTTTATCTAAGTTTAAAGGCATCCATACAATTAAATGCCTCATGATTTTCAAGAATCTTTTTTAATTTTAAAATATCATACACTAAAAATTACTGATTTAAGTAACAAAAATTTGCAATTTTAAGTCATTATGTTCTATGACAAAATTTCAATCTCATGGCTCATGAAGACAACATAATTTTGCTATAATAAAGAAATACTTTAGAATACAATAATTTAAAAATAACTACTGCTCAAGAATGAGGTTATATTAAAGTATGCTTAATTTTAAAACATTATTATTAGATTATAAGTCCAGGAGAATACATTTAAAAATATAATCTTTTTTTATGCTTTAGGTTATTTTTAATAAAGTTACATGTATTTTATCCTGCCTATTTTTTTTTTTTTGAGTTGGAGTCTCACTCTGTCGCCCAGATTGGAGTGCAGTGGTCGTTCCCGGCCACCGCAGCCTCGACCTGCTGGGCTCCGGTGATCCTTCCGCCTCAGCCTTCCAGGTAGCTGGAACTACAGGCGCTTGCTACCACGCCCGGCTAATTTTTTGATTTATTGTAGAGATGAAGTCTCGTCTGACCAGGCGGGTCTCAAACCCGCGGGCTCAGGCAATCCACTCACCTCAGCCTCCCAAAGGCGTGGGATTACAGGCTGAGCCACCGAGCCCGGCTCTATCCTGCCTATTTTTTAGGCCATCAATGTATCACTCTGTATAAGGTTAGCAGTTTAAATACTATGCAAGCATTGACTCAGGCTCTTGAAATGTACATGATTATACTTTAAAATAACAATAGATAGCATTTAATGAATGCTAACTCAAAGTAATGCAAGTTTTTGAGAACTTTAAAGTTACTACTTCACACCTACCTTAAGAGGTATGTCAAAATCATTATTCCAATGAGAAAACAATCTTACCTTCAGATTTTTTGTTATATGCATTAATTAAATACTTTTAATGCTCAGGCTAATGTTAGGTTTCAGAGAAATACATACATAAATGATATAAATAATGAAACAAATTATTACTTAGACACATAAAGACTGCTGTACAGTCCCTAAAATGCAGCTCTATCTTATTAAAGTCCTATCAAGTATAATTAGAATAAAATAAATATTCAGTGTCAACTGACATATATAGGCCACCCACTCCTCCAAGAGTTTTCAAATAGATACTCACCAGCAGTCTGTGCAGGATTTATTCCTATTCCATCTAGAAAATAAGTTGTAAAATCACATAAGTTATTTCTAAAGCTAAATGATTTAATAGTAACAAGAAGAGAGATCTGCCAAAATAGTGCTGCTGTGTACACAGGCCCACGCTAAACAACTTAAACCCCAGAACAGAAGTGATGATCTTTCAGGTTATCTGTCTGTTGGAATCTACTATTATTATGCATCCATACTCATTGCTGTTAAAGCAATGATCCTGGTAAGTCCTATGAAAGATAGGTTTTTAATTCTATGTTGCCACATAAGAGTGAGAAATAATGTTTGACATTTCTTCTAAAAAGCTAAGAGCACCTTAGGTTTGCCATTAATCATCTTCATATTCCTCTGAGGCATAATATCTTAGGACTGGGAGAATCCACAAAGTCATTTAGTTCAAATTTCACTAACACTTGTAAGTTTCAAAACATTTTTGTAAGAGTTATTCAGTTGCAAGTCCAAAACTTTCCAGAAAGTAGGCCAACTTTCTTCTAAACAGAGAAACACTTCAATGTGACAGCATGCAGAATATTTTAGAGTTAGAAATTGTTTTATCTAAGTTACCTCATGCACATTAGGCCCATTTCCTCTTAGTCTATCCAAACCGCACATGGACCATTCACCAGCACTCATCAATAATATCACTTTGTATACTTGAAACATAGTTAAGCTCTCCTTAAAATTTTTACTCCTCATCTTATTATTGCACTATTTTCTCACATGACAGGTTTCATCAAAACTGATTATCAGTATTCTAAGAGATTGAGATTTTAATTATATACCTAACTGAATAAAATCTTCATTATTGCAAGCCTATAAGAAACCGTTTTCTAACAGGAGAGGTATAGCAATGTATGGCAAAGGTATATTCCTGCTTAGCTTTCTATATTGTTTTTGTTAGTTTGATTTTTTTTTTTTTTTGAGTAGGGATCTCTGTTACCCAGGCTTGAACGCAGTGGCCCTATCATAGTTCACCTCAGCCTTGACTTCCTGGGCCCAGGCAATCCTTTCGCCTCAGCCTCCTGAGTCACTAGGACTACAGGTACCATCATCCCAGCTAATTTTTCAATTTTTATAAATAGAGACAACACTTTGCTCTATTGCCCTGGCTGGTCTTGAGCTCCTGGGTTCAAGCAATCCTGCTGCCTCAGTCTCCCAAAGTGTTGGGATTACTGGAGTAAGCCCTCTTGCCCAGTCAACTTTCTATATTCTAAAGCAACTTTGTATATACTAAAACAACATAACATATTTAAAAAAAAAAACTTGCCAAAACATAAAATTATTTTTCATAATAATCTGGCATGAAGTGATAAGGATACAAGATATTATAAAGTGCTATTCTATAAGAAAAGCACACACACAAAAAACTATAGATCTGAGGTAATAAAAAATTTTCAAACGGATTCTTACCATTGGTAATAATTGCACTTGTTGCAGCAGGAACTTTAAACTAAAAGGAGAAAAAATACATATAGATATAACAGGATTTGCAAGAATGGGCTACATATATCAATTCTTTAATTCTAAGATGTGATTTATCTTTTAGAATGTGTGAAACCATCAAGAAAAGTACAGTTGCCCCCTGAATGAATTATGTGTGGAGTTTCTTCTGCATCTACCACCCGGAGATAGCAAGACCTCTCTCTTCACCTTCCTCTTCCTCTGCCTACTCAACAACAAAGACAAAGACCTTTACGATGGTCCACTTCGACTTAATGAATAGTAAATGTATTTTCTTTTGTGATTTTCTGAATAATAGCTTTTCTGGAGCCTACTTTATTGTAAGAATACAGTATATAATACACGTAGCATACAAAATATGCATTAGTCATCTGTTTATGTTATCAGTAAGGCTTCCAGTCCACAGTAGGCTATTAGTTAAGTTTTTGGAGAGTCAAAAGTTATTTGTAGATTTCACCTGTGCAGCGGTCAGCACTCCTGATCCCCTTTGTTGTTCAACAACACTTAGTCTAAATAATGCTTCTGACTCTATTTAGGAAACAATTATAAAATGTACCTTATTTATTTTACATACTGTGAAAAAGGCAAATACTATCAGTTTATGTCCAGATCAAGGTTTATTCTTTTGGACTTTTATTTTTATCATATATAATTCTTTTGCACAGGAAAAAACTATAAGCAAAATAAATTGATGACACCATTCCTACAATTTCTCCCTAGAAATGGCAAGTTGCAAACATTTATTCTCTTGTGTTTAACAGGAGAGGCCCATAGAAGATTTTCTAGTAACAACCAAAGCTTACATTCTTTAAATTCTTCTTAAATGATTTGCTGACTTAAAGCCCAAAGGATTGCAATTGTCCAATCATTTCACTAGGAAATAATAAATTTCAGTTATGTACATGTGATATCACCTAGACAATTATGTGACCACCATGTGGTCAATAGTAATAGTAGGCCTCCCTGAATTATTTCAGAGATGTTTAAAAAGATGTGCTTTTAGAATTAATAAAATGTGGCATGGAACTTATTGGTAGCCAAAAGGCAGATTCTATCTCTTAAAAAGACCAGCAGTTGTCAAAGTGATGTTTATGTATTCATAGTTTGCTCATTTATTCAACAAATACCTATTACACAAGTTTGTGCTATGAACTAATTTTATAAATGTTATACTTGAATTTGTGACCAGTAAGTTTGGAAAACAATATGTTAAACTAGTGGTCTTTTCAAAAATCTAAAATATACTAATATAGTTTAACTTCAAAAAGAAAACAGTGAATTAAGTGTTTCCCTAACTTTTGGTCACTAATCCCAGTGTTTCATGGCTTTTATTTTGGTGGTACTATTTTGGGTGTAGGTCTTGTTGTCTGGGAAGTATTGTTCTACCATTTATAATGGTCACATATACATAGTTGAGAAAAACAACTAGAAGTTTATTTTAAGTAGTGAACTGAAGAATCAAGTTTTTAAATAAGAACTTAGCCTAGGTGAGTGGATTGCCTGAGCCCGCGGGTTCGAGACCCGCCAGGGCAGCAAGACCTCATCTCTACAATAAATAAAAAAACCAGCCGGGCGTGGTAGCGCATGCCTGTAATTCGGGTTACTTGGAGGGCTGAGGCGGAAGGATCACCGGAGCCCAGCAGGTCGAGGCTGCGGTGGCTGGGAGCGGCCACTGCACTCCAGTCTGGGTGACAGAGAGAGACTCCAACTCAAAAATAAATAAATAAATAAATAAATAAAAATAAAAAAAATAAAATAAGAACTTAACCATGCCTAAGAACAGTAATTTGGGGAGGAGGGGCAAGATGGCAAGAGGACAAGTCGGATTGAGAATGTCTCTGCAAAAGGTGGCTGCTGCAGCCAGCCCCAGGCACTGTGCAGCAGCTGTGGCCCTCCGCTCCTGGCTTTGTGGAATTCCCTGCTCCCTCCCCTGCCTCAAGCTGCCACACAGGGGTGGGGCCAGAGATCAGCTAGAGGCCAGAATCCAATCAGTGGAGAGAGAGGATCAAGGAGGGCCAGGGAGGAGGCCCATGCCTGGTAAGGAGGTGCTTATCAGTCATTTTCTCTGTCCCAGGACCAGGCAGAGACCTGCATCAACCTGCCCAGCTCTACACAGCTCTGCCCAGCCTCCAACTTGGGACCTAAGGTAATTGCATCAAAGGGGAGAGAAAGAAGCCTCTCCCCCATGCTAGATCAGACACAGAGAGGTTGGATCTGAGTGGCAGACATGACAGGCAGCAGAGTCAGATGTCCCAGGCCTGGGATCCAGATCTGATCCTTCCACAGCAGGCCTGGGACATCTGACTCTAGCTGTGAGCAACCTTACTAGCTTGCGATAAGAGCTAGAGATCAGTGCTGAAAGGACCTTGACTCACAGGAACAATTTCAGACCAAGCTTGCTTTGGCGTTTTTACTTTTTTAAATGTTTATATTCTTTGTTTGTTTTGCTCATTTTTGTTTGTTTTTACTTTTTTTTACTTTTCTCTTTTTTCTCTCTTCTCTCTGTTTTTGATAACATTTTCATACTTGCCTTGTTTCTGTTATTTTACTGATTTCTCCTTTTTTTCTTTGGAACTCCTGTTTGTGTAGGGGAATTATATATCAATAGGGAGGTTGGTTGGCTTGTGTGTTTGTATGATTGCCTGTATGTTTTAGTTTTTTTAAACTTTTTTCTGTCTTTGTGTCTCCTTTCATTTGTTAGTCGGTACATTTGTCTCTTCTCTCTCTCCACCTTCCTCCCTCCCTTCCCTGTTCCATTCTTTTCCTTCATCTTACCTCATTTTGCTATTAGGGAGCAAACTTATACCTCCACCGCATGGACAGATTGCAAGGCAGTGGGAAGGGGGTTCCACAGTACCCATATACCTATTGGTGGATACAGGGTTATGCAGATAGATCTTGAATCACACCTCCCCCCCAATTAAATCTCAAAACTGCAAAAAAGTATAGCTCCCAACCCACAGTCCAGCCTCAGAATTGATCAAAGCTAGAGGATTCACATAAGGAAGAACAAGAGACTGAGCAAACAGAAGTAAAAGCAGCACCGCCACCCCTGAACATCAGAATTAAAGAAGAGGGGGAAAAAGTGGGGAGTAAAATCTACACAAATGAAGAAAACACACAAGAAGAATACGGGTCTCATACAGACCCCTGGGAGGTCAGACACTGAGAAAAGACTTCGGAACGAAAACAATGAAGAGCCCCCAGAATGACGGGTCATATACTACAAACTCAGACATCAAAACATTAATAGAGAGAATAAAAAGAATTGAGGAGAGACAAGAGGAAAATAGGAAGGAGTTGATAACTGAGATAACAGCAGTAAAGAATACTGTGACTGAAATAAATAACAAACTAATAAGCATGGAAAGCAGATTAACCAAGCAGAGGAAATAATCTCAGAGCTTGAAGACCAAAATATAGAACTAACCCAAACTGTCAAAAACATAGAAAAGAAGTTTAAAAAGACAGAAAAAACCTTCAAGAGATGAGTGATTATTTCAGAGGCCGAACCTAAGAGTAATTGGACTTCTTGAGGCAGTGAGACAGAGAACATCCTGGAACAAACATTTCATGAAACCATTTGAGAAAACTTCCCTCATCTCATCACTGATGCAAAAAGTCAAACACAAGATATCCAGAGAACTCCTGCAAGACAACAAATGAGAAGACCAACTCCTAGACACATAACAATTTGCCTTAATGAAGTAGGCATAAAAGAAAAAATCCTAAAGGCGGCAAGGGAAAAAAGTCAGACGTCCTACCAGGAAGACTAATTAGAAGAGCAGCAAATTTATCTACAGAAACACTTCAGCCTAGGAGAATGTGAAGTCCAATCTTCAAAGTTCTCAAAGATAAACAATTTCAACCAAGAATAACCTACCCAGTTAAACTAAGCTTCATCAGCGAGGGAGAAGTAAAATCTTTTCTAGACATTCAATCCCTAAGATCTTATGTTGCCTCTAGACCACCTCTACAAGAAACACTTAAGAAAGTATGAAATACAGAAGAAAAGGAAACAAGAACGACGACATTCTTCACAAGAGTGCAGGAAAAAGATTGATAACACAAATGAATCAACCCAAAAAATCAAAAGAAAGATATTAAACAGGAACAACAACAACTCTATAAGAATCTTATGACAGGAATAAACTCCTACATTTCAATAATTAGCCTGAATGTGAATAGACTAAATGCACCACTGAAAACACACAGAATGGCAAAATGGATAAAATATCTTAAGGCAACAATATATTGTCTCCAAGAGATTCATCTCACCAGAAGGGACACTCACAGGCTCAAAGTAAGAGGATAGGAAACAAATTTACAGATGCATGGAACACAAAAGAAAGTTGGAGTTGCAATCTTAGTATCAGACAAAATATCCTTTAAGTTATCAAAAATTAAAAAAGATACAGAAGGTCATTACATAATGATAAAAGGTTCAATCCACCAACAAGAAATATCTATCCTAAACATAGATGCAACCAACATAGGAGACCCACCTTTATAAAACAGCTTCTAGGGCAAACTTAAAAAAGATATTGATTCTACCACTATCATAGCTGGGGACTTTAATACCCCACTCACAACCATAGAAAGATTTTCAGGACAAAAATAAGCAAGAAGATCTGGAACCTCAATGTGACTTTTTGACCAAATGGACTTAACTGATACCTACAGAACACTCCACCCAACGACCATAGAATATACATTCTACGCATCACTGCATGGAACATACACTAAGATAGACCACATCCTTGGCCATAAATCAGGCTTAAAAAAATGTCATAATATTGAAATTTTGCCATGCACCTTCTCATACAACAGTGCAATAAAAATAAATATCAACACCAATAAAGTTCTGCCCAAACCCACAAAGACATGGACACTAAACAGCAATGATGTTAAGCAACTCCTGGGTCAACATGGAAATCAAAACAGAGATTACAAGATACCTGGAAACAAATGAAAATGAAGAAACATCTT